CCGCAGGTGCTCCTGTGTGCGTCCAGCCAGACGAGCAGCATCGTGGAATGTTGGTCTCTGCGGAAGGAGGGGCTTCCCGTGAACAACGTCTTCCAGCAGATCTCGCCTGTGGGTGAGTCTCCCCGTTCCCGGGGCAGCGTGAGGGAGCTGCTCCCAGCAGCCAGGCCGTGTCAGCCTGCCCCACCCTCTTCACCCCTGCCGATGCAGCCTCTTCGCTCCTGTCCCAGACAGCCACCTGACCCGGGGCTCAGAGAGGCGAGGTCCTACCCGGTCATCCCACAGGCGGGTCGCCTGATTGCCTCACTCTCACACCTCCTCCGGGGAGCATGTGCCTGCTTGAGGGAGCTGTGGTGCAAAGGTCCTGGGGCATGAGGCAGGAGCTAGAGCGGGCTGAGCAAAGGGGAGCAAGCAGGCGGTGCAGCATGGCTGGGGGTACACACAGCCCCCTGGGCCACAGAGGGCACTTAATCCTAAAAACAGAACCCTCCAGAAACCCTGGTTTACGGTGAGGAAACAGACCCAGAGGGGTGACGGAGTTTCCCCAGGACGTACCCAATGGCTCACCTCCCCCTCCCCTGTCCCTGCACTCAATGTGGAGCCCCCGGTGGCTCCAGATGGAGCCAGCCTCCCTGAAGACCGTGCCCGCTCCCCGACAGAGCTCGGGACGTGCTGGCCCAGCCTTTAATGACTTCGAAGTCGGAAAAGCCACTTGATTTTCACCGCCGGAGCTCAGAGGGGACGAAGGCCCCCCGGGGCCCACAAATAGCATTTGCAGCTGATGAGAGCCGGGCTCTCTGCTGATTAGCACTAATGGACCCTGGAGCGGTTGGCTGCTCGGCAGGGTGCTAAGCGGGAACTACGAATGAAGCCATGTCAAGAGGCCCCGCAGCTCCTGCCCCCCCTCGGGGGCCACGGGATGGTTACAGAAGCTGCCCGCTGCGGGGGCCCAGTGGTTAGCACGAAGCACCTTCCCCGGACCCCGCGTCCTGAGTGAGCTCGTAGCTGGCAGCCGGCATGACCGTGTGTGGCGGGCAGGGCCACACAGGTCTGCATGGTCCCTATGCCCCAGTGCAGTGGGTGACCAGCCCCAGGGCCAGCCTGGCCACAGCCATCGTGTAGCATTTGTGCAGTGCTCGGTGTGACCACTGGCCTGCGGGTGCTGTCTGGACGTCATCCTTGTTAGATGCGAAATTACACTCTGGCCTCAGGCAGTCTCAGTGCTCCCTGGGCCTCAGTTTCCCCTGGGGGGCTCGGGTCTGCGGCAGGTTTATGAGCTGTGGCAAGCCGTTCAGAGCCGAGCTCTCGAGACAGGTGGGCGGCTGGGAGACGCTGTTTGACGGTTGGTTGTGCTGTGTAACAACCAGCTCAACTTGGCTCACAGCCGTGGCCCCGCGCGGCTCTGGGGGGGGGGGGGGGGGGCGCCGCCTCCGCCGCTCCTACCTGGTTTGTGTGCCTGCCGTCACCTTCCGGCAGCGTGGGCCGTGCTGATCGCCCCCCGTGGCCGCGTGTCCCTGCAGGCTTGCCCAGACACGTCCCGGCAAATCCACCCTGTGTCTCCTCTTGCGTCATGTTGGCCCGCGCCCTCTAGCCACGCCGGGACTCCCGGAAACCACTCTGCCTGTTGCTGGGGGGTGTGGGTGCAGGGGGCACGGATCTGTGGCCCCTTGACCGTCCAGCTCAAGCCTTAGCAGGCGGGCCGAGCTGGGCTCCGCCCAGGACCTGTCCTGTCACCAGAAAACGCACCGCGAGCTGGCTGTGTCGCCAGGGCTTGTGGTGGCCGGGAGTGGGGTGCACCGCGCTTCTCTGCTCCAGCTTCAGCCAGGATCACGGCGGCCTCCCTCCCATTGCCTGTGGCCTCCTGGTCGGGTGAGGTCCCAGGGCAGGACTGGTGGTCCACGTGTGTCACGTGCCTGCCGTGGACCGTTCCGCTGCCTGGGCTATGGAGTGCTTTGAGGGACGGAGCGGGGCCGGGTCCCCAGCGCAGGGCCGGAGACGGGGGTGCTGGGGCGGCCGTGCCTGGCGTCCCCGGCGGGGGTCCGCCGTGTGGCATTTCTCATTCTGTTGTTGTTTTCCCGTTCTCCCGGCCCCCTTTTCAGTTGGTGACAAACAGCCCATGATTCTCAAGTGGCGGATCTTGTCGGCCACCAACGACCTGGACCGCGTGTCTGCCGTGGCGCTGCCTAAGCTGCCCATCTCGCTCACCAACACTGACCTGAAGGTGGCCAGCGACACCCAGTTCTACCCCGGCCTCGGTACAGCTGGCGCGAGCCCCTGGGGGCGGTGGGCTCTGAGCCCGGGGCTCAAGTCTGAGGGCCGTGGGGCCCGCCCCTGTCCGCCAGGCGGCCCCGCTTCCGGGATCCCACAGGCTCCCAGGCCGTGAGACTGGCTAACGGAACACTGCGTGCATAAAGGGCTGTTAGCGACCAGTAAGGACGAGGTTGGGAACTTGGGGCGGACTTTTTAGGTAGGCAGCGCTCTGTTATGGCGCCCCAGGTGTCGGTCCTGGGCTCAGTTGCAGGTGTCCCTGACCTCAAGTGAGTCAGGACTCAACGTGAGCCCTAACCCTGCCGCCCACTGGTCGTGGGGGTTAGGCCTCCCCACCCCCCATCCTCCCCTCGAGGCCCCTGTGTGCTCCTGGGCCCCGGGGCCTTTGCATTCACCGTCCCCTCCCACCGTCTCCCTGGAAGGGACCCATTTGCTCCCGTCAGCCACACCTTGGGGAGGAGGTCGGGCGTAGCCCGAACCTGGGGCTGTTGGCAAAGGATGCGGGGAAAGCGGCTGGCTGTGGGGGACGGCTGGTGGGCTGTGGGTGGCCTGGGGCCACGCCTCTCCCCTGGGCGGCCCCTTCCCACTGTGGGGAGCTGGGCGGGCCCCCAGGCGGCTGAGCGGCCTGTGCTCTGGCCTGTAGGGCTGGCCCTGGCCTTTCACGACGGCAGCGTCCACATCGTGCACCGGCTGTCGCTGCAGAGCATGGCCGTCTTCTACAGTTCTGCGGCCCCGCGCTCCGCGGACGAGCCGGCCATCAAGCGCCCGCGGACCACCGGCCCCGCCGTCCACTTCAAGGCCATGCAGCTCTCCTGGACGTCTCTGGCCCTGGTCGGCATTGACAACCACGGGAAGGTAAGCTTCAGAGCCGCCTCCCTGCTGCTCCCCGGCCCGAGGCCGTCGCCTCTGAGGTCTAATCAAAGCTCCTGCGGCGTGGTCTGTGGCGCCTAGTAGGTGCTCAGCAGGAGCCGTTGGGGTGGTTGCTGTTCACGTAGGATTTCTGGAATCAAGTGCGGTGAAGCACGTAAGCGTAAGGGTAGCGGGTGCTCAGCGGGTGTCCTTGTTCCCGGAGGGACTTGGCCTCGCCTGGAGGAAGGGGGCCTGGAGGAAGGGGCGAGCTGTGTGCGCTCACCCTGTGGCCGTGCCCGCCCATCCCCCCGCCTCCCGCGCTGACTAGGAAACCGGCTTCTGCATTCACTTTGCGACTCCTGACTCGTGAGCGAATCCCTTGCTCGTTTGCTCCGCCCTTGGGGTCTGCGGGAGACGGGCCTGGCCTGGCGTGAGGCGTTCCGCTTCTGGAGAACAGGGTCTGTGTCTCTGCGGAGACCCCCGCGGCCCTCGAGTGGATCCGCGCCGGCCACGCAGCCTGGTGACAGGCCGGTCCCC